CTTTGAAATGGCTAAAATACCTGAAAGGATTTATACCTAAGTTAACTTTGCATTCCATCTGATGAGGTTCATATTCTTGGGCCATTTATCATCAATGGCTTTTCAGGTTCTCCTAGGAGTACATAGTATATATATAACTTAACTTGGCTAGGCCAAGGGATTTAAAAAAAACCACACATATATATGAGTAATATTGTAAGACTATAGCAAAACTAGAAATCAAGTTTTGACATGATTTCCTTATTTATATCATACCACCTTGGTGACTAATAAAATATTCATGACTTAACTGGTTAAAATATGTGGTTTTCTAACTGGTTTCTATTACCCCCTGAAAGTTGATGTGGCTGTCGATTGTGGTGGAAAAATCCACTTGTGCTGGTCACCATTTTGGGGAACCCAAGAACAATGCATCTAGTCCTGAATGCCTAAGGGAATATTGAACTTATTTTTCTACAATAGCAACCCCCTGGGACAGATATTGAACTGCTTTTGCAACTGTGAAGCATTCTGAGATACAGAATGAGGATGGGCTGCTTTCTTCAATGGGCAAAGGAGGAGATCCCAGTAGATATATTTCCTCAACTGCATAGTGTAACACCAGCCTATAACTTACCATATATACTAGGGCTGGGCGGTTTCGTTCGTTAATTTCGTAATTCGTTATTAATTCGTATTTAAATTAGCTTACGATCCGATATTGAGCCATGCAGGAATAGTGTGAGGAGTAATTAAAAATCGAAACAATTTTTCCAATTTATTTCGTATTGTTTCGTAATTGTTTCGTAATTGGTTCAAAATTGTTTCGAAACTGTTTCGTAATTGTTTTGTAATTATTTCCATATGACTGGTGCAAGTTTTATAGTTGTTGTTTGTTTTATCAGTGATAAAAAATAAATTATCACACCAACAGTCAACAACAGAGGGAGAGGGAAGCTTCAGAAGTTCCCCCTGTCCCATTTGGAGGTTTTTTTTAGCATATTGCGCAATCGCGTCCGCCATTAACGAATCGATTCGAAATTAGCAAAATTTCGTAAATAACGAAATTTTGAAATCTCAAAATTTTGGAAGTATTTAGAATTTGGAAACGCTAGCGCCCCCTGGAAATGAATTGAGTTTAGAAACAAATTTTTCCGTGGTTACCCAGCCCTAATATATACCTGTGTGTAAATTGACCTAATGAAGGTTTGGAAGCCAGAATTGTGGATCTTGATACAAGCTTTGGATAAGACAGCCCTGATGTTTCCTGTCCTGGCATTCCAAAAGTCCAGAAGTCCTATCACAGCAAAGAAATTAGTGGGGATTGATCCTTCGTTAGGTTTTCTCAGAATGAACTGAGCTCTCCTTTGTGTCGCTATTTATTTATTTTGATAAGAGTTAGGGTACAGTATTATTTACCCATGGATAAGTTGATTTTTTAAACTAAAATTTTCTAGACTTATACATGCATGTATATATAGTACACTGCTGTTTACAGTAATAATTTTGTCCAGTGATTTTTTGCATATGGATTCCACTATATTTGTGTTGCATTCTTTTTCATAAGCATTTATTTACTTTAGTATTTATTTCCTCCATGTCCATTTCACCCTAAAGAGAACAGTATGATATTTTATGTGTGTGTGTGTGTCAGGAGCAATTTTAGAAATTGCAAGCTGCTTCTGGTGTGAGAGAATTGGCCGTCTACAAGGATGTTGCCCGGGGGATGTCTGGATGTTTTGATGTTTTACCATCCTTGTGGGAGGCTTCTCTCATGTCCCCACATGAGAAGCTGAAGCTGACAGAGAGAGCTCATCAGCACTTGTTCCAAATTCGAACCTCCGACCTGTCGGTCTTCAGTCCTGCCGACACAAGGGTTTAACCTATTGCACCACCAGGGGCTCCTAACATGGCACTGCACCACTGAACTCTAGTGGTGTTACGGCAGCACCCCCCCCCAACAATTTCCCCTAAAAATTATGTGTGAGGGGGGAATGGGCCTCCTAAACTAAGCCAGTGAACTGTGCCAGTGAACTCTTTATACCTGGACTGTCAAAATTATGGTTGTTGATAATGTCTGATAATAGCTTTTGCTTCTATAATAGGGTTTCGCAACACATGCAGTTTGCATGCTGCCGCAACTATGGCTATATGTTCTCCTTCCTTTGTATTGAAATAAGGCAAACATGGAGCACATCTTCTTTTACAGCTTAACTAGTCTCCTGGTAGACTCCTTATTCTGTGATAACTGTTCTGAGACACAGGATATGTATCTCTCACACATTATTTTAAGGGAAATTGTAGGGGGGTTTGCTGTTGTAACATCACTAGAGTTCAGTGGTGCAGTGCCACCCTTTAAAGTACCAGCTATTCTGAACTTCCGGATCATTCTGTAATGATCCAGATAATATCTGGGATCTTTATTCTCACCTGAAGGACACCACTCCATGTTCCCTTTTAGTACCATGGTACAAATTCAATCTTCAATCTTCAAACAAAGATCCGCATAGTCAAAGCCATGGTATTCCCTGTAGTAACGTATGGATGTGAGAGCTGGACCTTAGGGAAGGCTGAGCGAAGGAAGATAGATGCTTTTGAGCTGTGGTGTTGGAGGAAAGTTCTGAGAGTGCCTTGGACTGCGAGAAGATCCAACCAGTCCATCCTCCAGGAAATAAAGCCCGGCTGATCATTGGAGGGAAGGATACTAGAGACAAAGTTGAAGTACTTTGGCCACATCATGAGGAGACAGCAAAGCCTAGAGAAGACAATGATGCTGGGGAAAGTGGAAGGTAAAAGGAAGAGGGGCCGACCAAGGGCAAATGGATGGATGGCATCCTTGAAGTGACTGGACTGACCTTGAAGGAGCCGGGGATGGTGACGGCCGACAGGGAGCTCTGGCGTGGGCTGGTCCATGAGGTCACGAAGAGTCGGAGATGACTGAACGAATGAACAACAACTTCAATTTATGTACGGAAGGGTTTTCTCTCAGTTCCATCAAAATAAACCCCTGTGTCGGCAGGACTGAAGACCGATAGGTTGCAGGTTCGAATCCGGGGAGAGGTGGATGAGCTCCCTCTATCAGCTCCAGCTCCTCATGCGGGGACATGAGAGAAGCCTCCCACAAGGATGATAAAAACATCAAATCATCCGGGTCCCCTGGGCAACGTCCTTGCAGACGGCCAATTCTCTCACACCAGAAGTTACTTGCAATTTCTCAAGTCGTTCCTGACACGACCAAAAAAAAAATATGTTTGAGAGAGAGATTTAGGTTTTTCTATTCTTGATTTGTTACTTATAATTGGAACAATACTCTTCCCTGTGTCTTGTTCTTGTTAATATTTTCCTGGCTGAATTTTTGTAGAGTTCTTTTTGTAATGGTATTCCAACTTCGTGTCTTTTCTTTCCTATCATTTTTTATTTATTTATTTGTGGGATTTGTGTACCACCCTTCTCAACCCCAAAGGAGACTCAGGGCGGTTCACAGTGTTGGCAACAATTCAATGCTATCGATAAAAAAGTAGAAAACATCAAAATTGACCCTTACCTGATAAAACATCAAACATTACTGAGCACATCACACAAAACAACATCATATATCTCAGAAAGACTTAGCCGTTGTCCGTAAACAGTCCTGGGTCATTGCACTTTCAACTTTCACTTCAACTTTACATTTTCCTATGATGGGTTGAATGCCTTGTTCCACAATCAGGTCTTCAGCTGTCTCCTAATGGTTAGGAGAGAGGGGGCTGACCTGATCTCATGAAGTTGATTTTAAAATAATTCTGGTTGGCGTTACAAAGTAGAGGAGATGATTACAGATATTGCTAAATATTGCAACAAGCACACATTGCTTTTTGTACGGTAACAAAATAGAAATCTACCATGATTATGCAAGGTAAATGATAATAATTATGTGGGTTTTTTTTTGTTTTTTTTGTCATAGAATTTCATTAATATATATGTATTATTCAAGTATTGCTGGGAAGCCTTACAAATATATTGCATATGCCCAAATTCCATTTTTCAGTCTGTAATAGAATAGACCCATTGAATTAAAGGGACTTAAATAAGTATTGACACACCAAGTTCCCACTTATTTTGTGGATCTACTCTGGGACTAAGTAATCAATCTTTCCAAAAAAGCATGTTCTTTGGCTAAAGCCACTATTGTTTATTACTTCAGGACAGTGATTCATTTTGAGCAATTATTAGAGACTATTTGGGTTTATCCCTTTGTTAAAATTTTGGGATATTTTATTTGTCTATTTGTTTTGTTTCCGCCTTCGTCTTATATGTCAGCAGCCCTGTGGCTGGGAGTGTGAACAGCCTCCTTAAAATGTACAATATTGTTCTGTTCCAGATAGTTTGGTGCAATAATGTATTTTGCATTTGCTCTAGGGGTTGGAAATGTCACTTAGTGATGCTCTCAGTCTTTGTAGCTTTAAGTGTACATGTCCTGAGGAGGACGACTCAATCTAGGTTTCCTTAGGCTGCCTCAGTCATGTTTCTTTTAAGTCATCTTTCTGTATTGCCTTTAGTATGGGAGATTATTGTGGTTGAACTACGCTTGAAATGCCTTTTAGTTTTATGTATCATCAGTCAGAGGGCAAATCTGTTTCAAACAAATGAGCTATATTATTTAGTCAGAGACCCAACTTTAAAATAAGTGTATATTTCTAAAGCTCACTGTGTGTTATGGGGAAACATGGAGGCACAGCTATAGCCTCAGCATTTCCAAGTACATGCGTGTATGACTGAATTGTTAATTGTAACCTAAATTTTAATGGAATATGACTTTGATTAATAGATATTCTCCTTTTTCCATGCCTGCAATTTTAATTAGTCTTTTTTAAGTTAACTTATTAATGAAACAAAAAGATTGAATCCCTTTAAAATTGAACTCACTGACTGAGCTCTTGTAATGTGGTTCCGCTTTTATCATGATCCTATATGACACATTTTAAAATGAAATAATTATAAAGTAGACTTTATTAATAATATGAGCTTTTAATTTTTTTTAGAAGAATCTTGGCCAACTTGGATCACATACAGAAGAATGAGCATTCTACTAATTGAAGCTTTCTACGGAGGCTCACACAAGCAGCTTGTGGATCTCTTGCGAGAGGAAATAGAAGACTGTGTCCTTTTCACTCTCCCGGCCAAGAAATGGCACTGGAGAGCAAGGACTGCAGCTCTCTACTTCATGCAAAATGTCCCACCCAGTACTGATTATAGGTAAGAATTACTACTGATACTAATTTCTCTAAGTCTTGAGTCTACAGATACAACTTTTAATATCCACATAGGTTTGAGGTCATCTAGGTAAGCTGTCCTAGTTTAGATATAGAACATTTTGTTGTTGTTTTTCGTTCAGTTGCTTCCAACTCTTTGTGACCTCATGGACCAGCCCACGCCAGAGCTCCCTGTCGACCGTTGCCACCCTCAGCCCCTTCAAAGTCAAGCCAGTCAAGGATACCATCCATCCATCTTGCCCTTTGTCTGCCCCTCTTCTTTTTTCCTTCCATTTTCAACCGAATCGTTATCTTCTCCAAGCTTTCCTGTGTTCTCATTATGTGGCCAAAATCTTTGCTTTTAATATCCTTCCCTCCAGTGAGCAATTGGGCTTTATTTCCTGGAGTATGGTCAGGTTGGATCTTCTTGCAATCCAAGGCACTCTCAGAATTTTCAAAAGCGTCTGTCTTCCTTCGCTCAGCCTTCCTTATGGTCCAGCTCTTGCATCCATAGGTTACTATGGTATACTCCTCGGTATTTATGTTTCATTCATAGAAATTTATGTCTTGAGGCAAAGCTAGGACAGTAAATCTTTAGAGGAGACATGTTAAACAAATCTTTAGAGGAAACACATCAAACTATGTTTGAAGCCTAGTGTATTCTACAGATATTGACCCACGGGCCTAAATTGCGACATAAATTGGTCCTTCCCTCAATGAGGGACCAGATTTCACAATAAACATTTAGATATCAGCTTGCTGTTAAGTCCCATTAAGTTAACTTCAACTTGTAGGGATCCTATGAATGAGAGAGCTCCAAGTCACCCTATGATCAAGAGCACTGCTCAAGTTTTGCAGATTCAGGTACATGACTTCATTGGTTGAGTCTATCCATCTTTAGTTCAGTCTTCCTCTTTTCCTTCCGTCTTTCCAAGTATTATTGTCATTTCTGCTGTCTCATGTTTTTGTATATATCCAAAATATGGTAGTCTCAGTTTCATCCTATTTCTAAAAAAGAGTTCAGGCTTGATGTGCTCTTGGACATGGCCTTTTGGTCCTGAGTACACAACAGTCAGACATTGTGACACAGCTTGTGTTCATCTATAAGCCTAGAAATTTGAGAAATATAAGCCTCAAAAATTGTCCCCAAAAGTGGGTTGTCATGTTTTTAGATCAATATAAGTATTGTTTCTTAACCCTTATCAAAGAAAGGAACCAGCCTCTTTTCTGAAAAGAGTGGCAAAAGGTCTTTTTGAATGCCTGGGTGTGAAAATGACTGCAAGTGTGCCAAAGGCAGCTGGTCACCTGCGGCAGCACTAGCACTTTCCCCTTCCATCAGAAACACTTCAACTTATCCACTTTCTTTTGAAACACCTTTATGTGTTCTATTATCCAAAAAAAAAAAAATGCTTGCAATATGAGCCCTACTGCTGCTTCTTTTCCTGGAGCCTGCTCAATATGTGGCAACTGTCTCTTTTGTAGAATTTTGAATGTTACTTTGCTTTCATGGGAAAGTAATGCAATGGTCCTATGGTTTTTGCAATTCCTGGTACCCCCTTTTGGGTGGGATTAGAATAAACCTTTCTAAACTATGAGTCATTCTTTTTCTGTATTAGTTGCCATAGTTTACCTCAGTTAGAACTAGTGTAGATTCAATTTCTGTAGACTTAAGTGTCTTCGTTGCTAAGGCTTATGTTCCTGGTAATTTATTTCTCCCAAGTGTTCCAAGTTTAAATTTCTCTTTGATTTCTTTGATATTTTGGAAGAGGTTTCTTGTTCTCCACCAGTATCACTCTCCATTACTGCTGCCGCCCAGTAGCTGTTTCGCACATTTGAGCCTACCTCCTCAGCAAAAAACTGTTTGGCATGGGAGATCCTACCAGTAGGATTGCTGTCTTTAGCATAACCTCTTACTTCATAGGAGTACATACTCTTATCTCCATGGAAAAGAAATGTTATTGGCGAGAGGTACCACCTTATTAACAATGGGAATAGGGTATTTAAGAAAATGTTTTCCCCCCAGTTCATCATATTTCAGTTTCCTCCCGCACCCCAGTTTTGTTATGATGGTTGGTAGATGTTCTACTGATAACTCAGAACTTGTCATTTCTATTGTTTCACAGCATCTAGATATGTTTTCCTTGAGGGACACTATAGAAAGATTTTAGACAGAAAATTTTAAAAGCAAGATAGTCTGCTGTCATTTATTTTATAATCCAAGAAGATATTAAAAGAAAAAGAAAAAGCAGAAGGGAAACAAGAAAACTTAGGAACCAGTTCTTAATGTGATCATTCATCACATTTGTTGGGTCCTGATTCCTTTAGGAAACTCGGGTCTTATTAGTTCATGCCTATCTTTCCCTCCATGAGACTGTTGTTGGTTGCTTTTACATGTAGTGTGTGAAAAAAGTTAGTGAATTGAAAATAGTTTCACAGGCATTGTAAACACATGCCTAAATTGAGAAGTAGGGTAATCCCACTAAATTCATGAGAATTTAATAAATCAACTCTTGTTTTCCTCACTTCCTCACTTGTTTCTCCACCAATGGATCAGAGATGAGAAAGATACAGTAGATCATGGGTAACATGTGGCCTAAATCCTATACAACACTCACATATTTCATGAAATTTCCTTTCTCCTTTCCCTTATATTGCAGCTGTAAGAGCTGCACTGAAACAGACAATTTTCCAGTTCTCTGGGGCAAGTTTCTGGGGTGATTTAGGGGTCTGCATTAGAAGGGAAAGTTTATCTCCCTTACAGTTGATTCAGATGTTCAATGCTGAGTTTCTTCCCAGTTTTGTGATTAAATTTTAAGACCCAGGCTGTGCACATGGTTGCTTTTCTAAATCTAAGAAACCCATCCCATCATGTAAAATTTGTGTGAATCCACACTATTTCATAAACATACATGTGATATGTTTGCTGTGATTTCAGTTTAATGTTAGAATAATTATTTCAAACATTTAAACTGTAAATCTTTTCAAATAAGCCAATTTCTTGATTTTTTTACTGCGTTTGATTTCATATTTACTTCCAGTCTGGAACAGATTTATTATTTCAATCTTTTTTTTTTTGTTAAGTGTGGATTTTGCATTGCTGGACTTTGAAACAATCCTATTTTGTAGGAGTATGTATGACAAACTATTATGTAAATTTTTTTGTACATCACAACGACATCCTCCAACGCATTGCAATGTTATCTCAGTTCCTTCAAGGTCAGGAGCCCAAGCTGTCCAGCACTTGCTGAATTAAGCTAATCAGACATAACTCATAGGCATACACCTCATTAGTTTAACGTACAGTTAGACTGACCTAAGATAACTTAATTCCAATTTGTCAAATAACCTACATTTTAACAGAAAATACTGGAAGTTTGAAAACTGATTTGAAGTTAGCAAACTTGCAATCTGTCATGTACTTCTGTGCAACATAACCTTCATGAACAGTAAATAAATCTACACTTAACCAGTACAACATAATGAAGAGGTGACTGGCACTGCCTTTGTTATTGGCATTTCATTACAGAGAAAATAATTTTGGACACTTTTTATTAATAGGTACATTCTTAATAAAAATGTGATGGGAGTTATGCATCTGATGCTGAGCACTTCGAAGTGCCATTGATTTCGGTTTTAAAATCAAGCATGCAAATAGTGTTTTCTTACTGAAAAGAGTGTTCAGGCAAATTCAATTTCAGCAGTTTAAAGCAATTTGGGGGAGAACAAAGAGTTCTCCCAGGCAGAAAGCAGCCAAGTCTTGAAGGTGCAAGGCTATTCAGTGCTAATCAAGGTGATAAATTGTTCCTCAAACGGATAAGAGTGCTTTCTCCCACCCTGGACATTCCACGTATAAACCTCACTTGCCTAGTTTCCAACAAACCTTACAACCTCTGAGGATGCCTGCCATAGATGTGGGAGAAACGTCAGGAGAGAATGCTTCTGGAACATGGCCACACAGCTCAGAAAACTCACAGAAACCCAATATTTGTTTGTTTATTTATTTATGTATTTACAGTATTTATATTCCGCCCTTCTCACCCCGCAGGGGACTCAGGGCGGAATACAGTGTACACATATATGGCAAAAATTCAATGCCAATGTTGTAAATTACCTCCAACTAGTAATAACAACTGCAAAACATTTAGATTTCTACCAGGAGTCTGACCACCCTAGTGGGTCTGTTGTCCTCTTGTGTTTGCCCTCCTTACAAAAGAACCAAGAAACCAATGTAAAAGTCACTTTGCCTGTCTTTCCTTCTGCTTTGTTCAGATATTTGCATTTGGGGAGATGATATACAAAATAGAGAAGCAGTTGGGTTGTTGTAATTTTTTCGGGCTGTCTGGCCATGTTCCAGAAGCATTCTCTCCTGACGTTTCACCTGCATCTATGGCAGGCATCCTCTAAGATTGTGAGGTCACGACTTCTGAGGATGCCTGCCATAAATGCAGGCAAAACGTCAGGAGAGAATACTTATAGAACATGGCCAGACAGCCCGAAAAACCTACAACAACCCAGTGATTCCGGCCACGAAAGCCTTTGACAATACATAGAGAAGCAATTGCTAAAGGACCTGCCCCATGTCTACATGAACCTGCTCCAAGGCTCTGTTGCCATCAAGGCTATGCTGGGAAACTGCTTTTAGCCAATGAAGTAGCATCAGTGCTGGTGGGTGCTGATATGCTGTTGGGTGAACTAGTTGTGTAGACTGCAGAAGGGTATCAGGACGCTTCCATGCCAGTACATGTGGGTTTCCCATAGTGTATGCATGGCAGCTCTGGAGGAGACTACTCCAGAGTACTTTGACTGGTATAGAGGCAGCTTGAATCTTCTGCCATCAATGGCAGTGGACATATGAAGGATGAACAATTGCTGTAATAGGTAATGTGAACGAAATTTCAGGGCACAAAATGCTTTCTTTAAAGTTCTAAATTCTTGAAGTTTAGTTGGATCTGAATGAATGAACTTTAAAAAATGAAACACATTGATAAAGCCAAGCGTCGTCCC